CAGGGAGCCCGATGTGGGACTCGATCCCGGGACTCCAGGATCATGACCTGAGCCGAAGGCAGTCGCTTAACCAACTGAGCCACCCAGGCGCCCCTATCTTTTCTATTATTGATGCACATTTGGTTTGTTTCTAGTTTAGAAAATTACCAAATCAGGATGCTCTGACCATTCTTTAGCATGGTGAACATATGTAGGCATTTCTACTGGGTATTTACCAGACAGTGGAATTTGGGGGTCAAAGAATATGTGTAAGTCCATCTTTAGCAGACACTACCACAGTTTTTGAAAGTGGTTGTGTGCGTTTACACCTCAGCAGTGTATAAAGTTCCAGTTGCTCCACATCCTCATTGACATTTGGCCTTGTCAGTGTTTTTTATTTTAGCCATTCTGGTGTATGTGTAGCAGTGTTTCATTGTGGTTTTAATTTGAACTTTCCTGGTGAGTAATGATGTCGTGTAAACTTTTATATACTTTTTGGCCATTTGGTTGTATTTCTGTGAAATATCTGGTCAAATCTTTTGCCCATTTTTTCTGGTGGATTTTGTCTTATTAATTCATAGGAGTCAATTACATATCCTATCTGATGCTTTTTCCCAGATAAATATATGACAAGTGCTTATTCCCATTCTGTTCTAGCCTTCTAACTCTCTGGAAGGTAAAGAGAAATTCTTAATCAGGTCCAATTTATTAATTTTTGTCTTTATAGTTAGTGTAGTTTATGTCCTAAGAAATCTTTGCCTGCCCCCAGGTCATGAAAATATTCTCCTAAATTATCTATTACAAATGTTACTGTTTTAAGCTTACACATTTAGATTTAAAACCCACCTGGCATTGATTTTGTTTATGATAGGGGGAGGGTAGGAGTCAAGATTAATTTTGCTCCCATATGGATAACCAATGACCCTGGGCCATTTACTGAGAAGACCATGTTCTCTCCATTGTTCTGTGTGTTTCTTTTGTCATACACAAAATGTTCATAAGTATGGGTCTCGCTGGACTCTGTCTATTGTTCCTTGCACTATTATAGCGCACTGCCCTGATTACTGTTGCTGTATACTAAGGCTTACCATCTGGTAGTGTAAGCCCTCCAAGTTGGATCTTCTTTAAGACTCTCTTGACTATTCTTGGCCACTTGTATTTCTATGGAAAATTGGAGAGCATATAGTTAATGTCCACCAGATATCTGCTGACATACTTTTACTGTGGCTGTATGAATCTATACATCAGTTTGGGGAGAAATGACATCTTAATGATACATAGCAAAACAAGCAAACACACACACAAAAAACAAAAACACCACCAAACTGACCAAAAAAATCCTAATAAAAGAGAAAGAAATGATAAACTGGGAAGAAATATTTGCAATTCATATTACAAAGGGGCTCACATCCCTCATACCTAAAGAGTTCCTAGAAATCGATAAGAAAAAGAACAGACACACTATGGGAAATTTGGCAAAAGACATGAATCCACAGTTCATAGAAAAAGAAATATAAACAGCCTTAAATATATGAAAATAGGCTGAGGCTTAGTAAAACTGTGAAGTTTAAAAGTTTGACAATACATTCTAAAGCTAAAGGGGGAAAATAGAAAAGTAATTCTTTCCTCCCCAGGGTCTCCAGGCCCACCAGGTCCAGCACCCTGCGGACCCACCTGATTGCATGGGGGGGGCGCCCATGGGGCCCCAGAGGACTTGGAGAGCTCAGAGGTGGCAGGTGGAGGGATTACAAAGAACTCACCTGAGCAGAGCCGTTGGTCCAGTGAGCAGGTGTGCACGGTGAGGCAGGGTCAGCTATAGAAAGCAGAGCTTCCCCTCACAGCTCATTCTCCCCCCTTTTCCAGGAGAGCTGGATCCTCAGGAACTTCTCACTGCATGCCATTCGCTGTCTGAAGAAGACATGGGGAGAAGTTTCCAGGTGGGGGCCTCTCTCCATAGGAGAAGGGTGGATGAGGAATCTCCCACAGGGCTGGCATTGCCCCTTCTTTCAGCTGGGACTTTCTGGGAGGCAGCCAACCTTGGGGACAGGGATTGAGCTGGGAGTGGAGCCTCTAAGCCTCACTGGAACCTTAGGCCACCAGTTCTGCTTCAGGAATCCGTTCCATTCAACGTCAGAGATTGGGCTGAGCCAAACTGGACATCTTCAAGTGTTCACTTTATAGCAACAAATTCTATGTCCAATTGGAACCAAAACCAGTCAAAAATAATGCTGCTCAGGGGCGCCTGGGTGGTTTAGTCATTAAGCAACTGCCTTCGGCTCAGATCATGGTCCCAGGGTCCTGGGATCAAGCCCTGCATCAGGCTCCCTGCTTGGCGGGAAGCCTGCTTCTCCCTCTCCCACTCCCCCCTGCTTGTGTTCCCTCTCTCACTGTGTCTCTCTCTGTCAAATAAATAAATAAAATCTTAAAAAAAAAATAATGATGCTTGGAAGAAATGAGAATGGAGCCCCAGCATGAAGACAAGTATGAAGTCTCCCCTCCCCAGGCCCATGGAGCCCTTTGAGCTCAGAGGAAACCAGTGGAAACCCTCATCCAGATAGTTTTGATCTTTTGGGTTCTCAAATAAAAATCATTGACACTCACACCCTTCCCATCTTTCCCCCAATTTTCCCTCCTCCTTTTCTTTCTCTTCCCCTTAGGAAGAGCTCCCGAAAATTTCAAAAGCTTTGGGGCAAAGACAACGCACTGGGCAGGTGGAGTGGAGGCTGGAGGTCTAGAATGACAGAAGGAGGTGGGGAGGGAGACCAGGCAGGGTGTGGTTTTATTTCTCACTTGAAGTATCTGAAAAATTCCAGTCTTGCCTACATTAACAGAAAGAAGGAGCTGTTTGGTCTAGAGCAGGTGGGGGGCCCTCTGCAGGGCAGAAGGCCCTGGTCACGGGACAGAGTGGGGGCAGCTGAGCTGTTCCAGGAGGGGTTGCTGAGCTGGCAGAATTACCAGGTGTGTCAGGCTTCCATGCTGGTCCATCCTGCTGGCACTCAGCTTCTTCCAGGCTATTGGGGGTCGGTGGGGTTTCTTTCTTCCCTAAATAAGCCCAGCCTGTCCTCGGGAAGCCAGGCCCCTGTTGCTCCTCCAGGATTCACTCCATCTCCACGAGGAGGGCACCCTACCTGCGCCAGGGTGGGAGCTGCTGGGGAACGCCATGGGCCAGGTGCTCAAATGGCTGCCTAGGCTTGGGTGCAGATGGCCGGACCAGGGACAGAGAGGTGTGCATTCTGTGACTTCCTACTTTGCCCCTCAAGCATCACTGCCAATCAGTCACAGTCAGGAATCTCATCTGGGTGTCCAGTTGACCATGATATATGTCCCAGATACCTTCTAAGAGTCTGGGGGGACTGATGGCTTCTTAGTGGATCCTTCCTGAATGGAAGTAAGAAGCTTCAAAAAGAGGAAGCAAGGTGTTCCCACCCTGTGCCCTGGTCACTCCCTCCCCTGTCAGTCAGAGATGGCACCTCAGCAGCCCCCTTCTGAGTGGATGAAGGAAGACTGCTGTGCAGGACAATGTCCTGAGGGGTACCTTGGAGAGGTGAAGACTTTGGCATGGCCACAGGCCTAGCCTGGGTGGCAGAAACTCCACTGGGCTTGGGCAGGCAGGGACCACTCAGCCAGGCTCCCAAGACCCCTGCCCCTCTTCATCCATGGCTCGGCCGGGCTGGGGGCCTGGACTCACATTGAGAGCCCAAAGGACAGGACTCTGGTCAGTGGTGGGGCCAGGCTGGGGCAAGGGCAGCTAGGGCGCAGCCTCTCCTCTGTAGGCCTCTGAGCAAATCACTGCCTCTCTTTGGGGGCTCTGTCTCCTCATCTGGAAAATGGAAAGTAATGATCCTGTGGTGCAGGCCTCACAGGACAGGGTTGTGATAAGGCTGAAGGGAGGGAATGTGCTAGGGTGTGAGAGGAGAACAATGATGATAGTAATATGATACTGAGTCCTTGGAGACCCTGTGAGGTAGGTGGAGCTCTCCTCACACTCTTCAGATGAGGAAACAGGCCCAGGGAGGCCAGGCCACAGGCCCAAGGCCACATATTGGGTGAGTATTGCAGCCAGGATTGTTCTAGAATCAGAGCACACTAGAAGACAGAGTAGCACTAGTAGCAATGGACTTAGGTCAGTTGTCCAGGGTGTGAGGTTAGGGAACCTTGGGAGAAATGGGATGAGGGGACAATGGCCTCACTGACCTTGTCCTTGACCCTGGCAGGAGAGGATCTCCAAGTTGGCCACCTTGGAGATGACCCCCCCAGGAAACCCAGAAGAGGCAATGGCAGGTGAGGATGCCTGTGGGGAAAGGGCCCCAGGGTCAGCGGAGAGGGGAGCTCTTCCCTCCTAAACAAAGGTCTCCACACCAAGAGGGGAGGGGCTTTCCCCCTGCAGCTCTGCCCCCCATTGCCACAGTGCCAGAAATCCCCCATTAGAAGTGACCAGGACCTGGGGCCACATACCCTGGGATTGGCAGAAGCAGGCCCTGGGAGGTGATTAGCAGGAGTCTGGTGTTCTTGAAGGGCGACAGGAGAAGAACTGAGGGAGATGCACATGGGAACCCTGGGGTAGAGGCCGAGGGTGAGTTTTCAGGGGACGGTCCCTGAGGGCACCTGAGAGCCAGAGCTCATCCCCACTCCCACCCCGAAGGCACAGGGTGTATTCTTCGCCTTCCTTGGCATGTTCCTCACTGCCCTGGGGATGCCGGACCCTGCAATGCAAGATTATCTGGAGGTGAGAGAAACCTGGGGCAGGGCAGTAGGGTTTGGGAGAAGAGAGCCCCCTACTGAGTCCTGAGGTCACAGCAGCTGGCAGGCATCTCCGGAGTTGGGGTGCCATGCTCCTCTTAGGGATGACTGAATGGAGGCACCACATAAGCTGCATGTCCTGGTTCCCCGAGCTGCCAGACTGCAAAGCTGCAGGAGTGGGACTCAGCCTCTCCTTCAGGAGATGCCCAAGGAGGGGAGAGAGAGGTCAGGTTCCTCCAAGCCAGGCAACACAGAAGTGGCTGGGCAGTCACTACCTGCCTGAGACCTTAGTCTCCCTGTCTGTCATCAGAGTGGGTTGTGCTAGCCTGTCCCTGAGCTTCAGCTCTCAAGTCCCCCGTTGTCTGGAGCCCAGAGCCTGGCCTGGGTCCCAGTCCTACTTTCTGTGCATGCCCTGCCCCCTGGAGGGCCTCGGTGGTAGTACATGAGAAGGGGCGGGGAAGGGAGGCTAGTTATGCGCTGGGGGCCTCTTTCTGATGGACCCTGGCTGTCTGCCTCCCAGGGGAATCCCAGATCAACCTCCAGAAAAGGAATGGGGTGAACATCTGTGGCAGTCACTGCAGGAGGAGCATTGCGGGGGGTAGGGGAATCAGAGCCCCCCCACCCCGCCCCCAGGCAGGACACACCCGGGAGTTTGATAACAGAGAAGTGGGAAACCCATCAATTTGGTGGGTGGGATAAGTCCAACTTCCTGAGGAGGAGTTATTTACACCCATCTCTGAGAAAAGGTAGGACCTGGAGGGAATTGGAGGGTTTCCATGTGTACAAAGACCCAGGACTGGCCTCCTGGCTCTCTCCTCCCCCCCACAATGCCCTGCTCAGGCACTGTCTGCATCTGTCCTTCCCTCTGGCCCCAGGAATACAACGTAATGAGGGAGATCCAGCTGCTCCACGTGGCTGCAAATCATCACGACCTTGAGCCGGATTCCAGGATACGGAGTGGCTCAGGGAGGATGAGAGGTGAGCCCAGGGAGTAGTTGAGTAAGAGCGGATACAGACTCTCCCTGGTGGCTGGTCCAGAGAGTCTTTGGCCATGACTCTCCCGGCTGACTGCAGCCTCACTGCATGGTGACCTCTGGGACAACTGGACTCCGGCTGCTGGGCAGGCACTGGGAGGGACACCGGAGGTGTGGCTCCTGGTGGGCTCCTGGGTGCCACTCCGTCCTGTAGCTATGCTTGGTCCTGCCATGGGAGCTCCAGTCCTGTTTGGCCAGCAGAACATTCAAGGCCAAAAAGAACTGGCCATCAAGAAGCTCAGGGCTGAGTGCATGTCCAGGCTTGGCAGTAGCTGAACCCTCGGCCTGAAGGTAAAACTGCAGACTAAGCATAGTCCTGGGGAGTGAAATTCCAGCTCCACCACTGACCAGTCCTGCGTCTGGGACTTGTAGTTGCATCAGCACTAAGTAGAGGAATAAATGTCAAGCAATCAAACCTTGCACATGGGAAGGGCAAGAACAGAGGAAGATAATTTGCAAATGGACGAAGTCCCAAGACTTTCCAGCCTCAGTCTCCCTCTAGGGGCTCTGTGTGTCCTCTTGACCTATGTTAGAATCCTCCTGGGAGCCTCGCCCATGACCCCCATGCTCCTTTTCCTACTTGCTTCTTGTGCAGGGCAAAGATTTGTGAGATCCCTTTCAAGGGAACAGCTGGGCCTTGTTCCACAAACATTTACGCTACTATGCACGAGGATCTCCAGCTTTCCTGCACCTCCTCATACAATTCTTTTTAAGACAGACATTTCCTAGAGGCCCCAGCCTGAGAGATCACGGATGGCTTCTGCTTTGCCAGGCTTAGGGTCCATATACTTAGCCATGGGCAGACCCCTACACTCTCCCTTGCTGGCCAAGATGACTTCTGGGGCAGAGTCTACTAGTAGGTCTAGAAGCAAATAGGGCTGGTGAGTGTAGGTCCCGAGGAAAATCAGCCATGATTTGCAAGGCAACTAGCTGAGGGGAGACCATCCTTGGCTCCTTTCTCCCAGCTGAGAGCATCCTGAGAGGTAAACAGACATTAATCAGATCACCACAAAGTATCAACATTGCAAATAAAAATAACTGATATTTATTGAGTGTAGGACGTAGCAGGCACTAGCTTCTGGGCTTCCTGGGGGGTCATCTCCAAGGTGGCCAACTTGGAGATCCTCTCCTGCCAGGGTCAAGGACAAGGTCAGTGAGGCCATTGTCCCCTCACCCCATTTCTCCCAACGTTCCCTAACCTCACACCCTGGACAACTGACCTAAGTCCGCTGTGTATTAGCTCATTTTATCCTCAAAATAATTTGGGGTGTTGTAGGCATTACCCTTTTTATTTGTAAGGAAAAAACAGCACAGAAAGACAGAGTCATTTAGCTGGTATCCCGTAGCTACAAGTGGTAGTGCGGGGACCCCAACACTCTAGTCCCAGTTGTCTCAGTTTCTGAAAGCAGAATGACAAAGTTTAGAGGTTGCAAAGGTTAAATTAAAAGAGATAAGTCTGGCAAACACATCTAGCCACAGGACTAGGTTTACAGTACATGCTCAATAATGATTACTGAATTTCAGTGGCTCTGGGATTTGTGAGGTGGATGGGGAATTTCCTCACCCTGTTGGTAGGTCCTCCTGGCACCGCACAGGCTTCACGAGTGACTCTGGTCACTTTGCATGAGTCCCGGGCCATCAGGGACCTTATGCGTGGGTGTGAAGACTCAGGGTAAGTACTGGGCTCTCTGCACAAAGAGAAATGTCCAGGCTTCCCAGCCTGGCATCTGGGCCTCCGTGGGTGGTCTAAACAGCCCCAATACCCTGCCCTGCAAATACCAGAGGCCTCTCCTCCTCAAACATGCCTGAGGCTCTCCTGCTCCCACACCTTTGCTCTTGGCCCCAACTAGAATGCCTGCCCACTCCCATCTCTGCCTCCACAGATAGGCAGCCTTCCCAGGGGATACCCTCCTTGTCAGATCTGTAGATCTTCTTTGTGACCAAGGCCCAGATCAGTTCTGATCTGCTCCTCATCCCAGCGGCAATGGCAGGGACAGCCCAACGTGTGCCTGCTCACCCTACCAGATTAGCGGCTGGGGACATGGATGTCCTTCTCTCCCACCACCAGAAGGCCTGGAAAGGGGGAAGCAACAAGGATCCCGTTGGATTAAAGCCATACTTTCTTCCAGACAAAAACTATGTCTAACAGTTAAGCTCTCCTGGTGTACATTTTACCACCTTCTTCAGTGACGCGAAGTTCTATCCTGTGGTCAAACTAAGTGCTTGTCCACACGGAACTCCCCAATGCTACCTCCTAACCACGGATAGTGGAAATTGTTATTGAGAAAAGATTGTTCAACAGAAATTCTTTTTAGTTCTTGATCTTTTTACCAAGGGAGTGGATTATTAGACCTGAGACTTCATGGTTCAGCTCAGGTGCCATCCCATGAGCGCCCGGTGCTGTGTGCAGTAGACGGGGACTGCATCCCCTCTCACACTGCAGGGGACAGCAGCTGGGTAGCCTGGGCCTTGTCACAGGGGCAGTCGTCCTGGAATGGCCTTGTAGCTGTGTTGGGAGGTTACCGTCAGCTGTCTGAGCATGTCAACAGGATCTGGGTAAAGTCCCGGGAGCCATGACCTGATCTTGATTTTCTGAGCATGACTAGTCTGGGATTGTTGACCAGGGTGTGTAACAGGAACCACCTTGTCCTGGACCTCGTTGAGATTCGGGAACCTAGAAGTGAACCAGAGCAGACAGACTTGGGGGATGGGGCAGCTTGTCTCTATCCTCAGAAGCTCTAGGAGAAGCAGACTGGTAGGTGTGAGGTGCAGGAGAAGGAGCTGGACCGGGACTTCTGGGGACATGAGGGCGGCTGGAGGGATCTGAGTTTGTCCCAGAGCCAGATGTCTGGAGTTGGGAACAGTGATGAACATAGTCCAGACTGGTGCTCACAAGATATGGCTAATTGGTGGGCTTCCCAGCAGAAGGCATAACAGAGTAATAAGGGTGGGAGGGGTGGAGTAGACAGTACAGATCCTTGAGGGGGCAGGAGATGGTAGCCAGAAGAGCCTGTGGTAAGCAAAACTAAGCCCCATCTTGGAGGGCATCTGGCCTGGAGCCTGGGATATGGGTGGGGTCTCAAACAAAGGGACTGGAGGACTCAGCAGAACTAGAGCTCATTTCTGGGAACATGGGGGGAGCCACATGTTCCATTTAGAAGGACAAGGACACCACGCCTCAGGGGTCCCCTGGCCAGGTTGGCTGTGGACTAAGCCTCCTGCTCTCCTTGGTAGAAGGTTCCCCAGGGCACGGAGTATGGAGGAAGGGGGGCAGGGAAGGGGGAAGCTGGGACATCTCAAGGCTCCCAGAGAAGCCTTAGGGTCCTTGTTGCCTATTGTCCAAGCCCAGCATAGGTTCAGACAGGAGGCTTACCTGCTGACTGATTTAGGTACCAGTATTTGATGGCCCGCTGCAGCCTCCTCTCCCTGTGCCCTGTGATCAGGATGTTACAAAAGCTGACGAGCACAGGGTTGGTATGATAATGATCCACATAGAGCATTCCAATCCAGGCACTGAACCCTGAAACGCAGAAGGCAAGTCAGGCCAGGCAGCATGCCCTCTGTCCCAGGACGCTCGAGCCTGTGCTTTGGATGACGTAACTGTTGTGCCACTTTGTTCCTAAACGGTGCCCCTGTTATCACTGAGAATCTAGAAAATTAGGTATGAAGAGCAAGAAGGTTCTCAAGATGGCATTCTAATCCATCCCTTTTGCGGAGACCTTGAAGCGGAAAGTGGGAAGAGCGCTGTGCTCATACAGAGAGGCTGCCAGGCGTACAAGAAATGGGTGAGTGAATGAATGGACACAGGTCAGAAAGAAAACCCAAACGATTTTTGCTTTACAGGAACGGCTTGATTTGGGAGTCTTTCTTAACTGAACAGACCATTTTCTTAACCAAGTTTCCAGCTAATGACACCAGTAATTCTGAGATGTGTTCTTTCTCAACATTTTCAGAGCTGTGCATTCATAAATTAATTACCTTCTAACCGTTCAGATGGAATTCTAGTACTTCTTACTGCTCTCCACGATACCTCGAAGGTCGTCAAACATGCAGCCATTTACTAGCCTGAATTGTCTTCTGACCATTAGGCTGAATGTTTTTTTTCTGCTCAGCGTTATAGCCTCCATGAGAAGCTGAGCTCTGAGCAGAAGGAGGAGTGTGAAGTCCAGGCCTCTGGTATCCAACCGGCAAGCAGCTTCCAGAAAGCTGCCAGACCAGCCCCGCCACCCCCCACCCCTGACTCAATGTGCAGCCACCAGGGACCAGCCACTCACCCATGTCCGCCCCCTCATAGCCATTCTGCATGATGGTCCTGTCGATGCGTGCGATCAGCCACGTGCCCAGGATGCAGCTGATGAGCAGCCTGGAGAGACAGGCGCCCAGGCCCAGCAGCACGTTGTAGAAGAACAGAAAGTAGTTGAAGTTGTGGAACACTTTCCTGCAAACAGAAGCAGGCAGAGGGGCAGCACCCTTTCAGGAGGAGGAGGTGGCTAGGCAGGCTGGCTCCGGGCCCCATCCTGCAGCTCCCATCTCCTAGCCCTGTGACCTTGATGGTCCCCGCCACACAGCAGTGGTATGGGACTGGCTCAGATACAGTGCAGAAGGTGCTGAACCCAGCACAGCGGGATTGTCAGCAGTGGCTGTGATGTTTCATGGGATCCCTGGGTTTTGAGGTTTCCTGTACGACAAGAAATCTCATGTGGCTACAGCTGGCTTTGTGGTTACAGCAGAGGCTGTGGCTTTCCCACTGTCTGTTGTCACAATGACCTGCCCGCCGCTGGAACTGCTCCAAGTCCTCCAAAGGAAACTTCCCAGATGACCACTGGATTGTGTGGTTTCCTGTTGCCTATGGGTGGGATGAGGCCCAAACTCGGCATCCTGGACTTCTGGGCCATCCGAGACGGGCCTTTCTGGGGCCGTCACTCTGTGCCCCCTCCCTGCCCCTCATCATCCAAGGCGACTACATGGCCACCATATTGGATTCTTACTGTTCTCTCAAGACGTCTTGCCCTTTCTCAGCTGCCTGCCTCCATCTGTGCCCTGAGGGCTGCCGACCACACCCTCTCCTCAGCGAGACCTGCAGGACAGCCAACCGAGCTCAGCTCAAACGTCCCACCTGCAGCTGAATGAACCATTCCTGCCTCTTTCTCCATTACCCGCCTTGCTCTTGTGAGGCTGTCACCCCCTCTGGAGTTGACTGTCGCCATGTGTCTGCCGGCCCCTGTGGACCGTGAGCTGCCGCAAGCAGGTCAGGTAGGGATAGCTCTGTATCCTTAATGCCCGCGTTGTTTCCTCCCTGAGTGAAGGGCTTTGAATGAGTGAACTACAAAGGAAAACCTCGGACCAGGCACTATTGTTCTAAGTTCATATTTTAACACACTTTATGCTCCGAATACCTCTCTGAGGTGAGCAATTATTTGTAAAATGAGGAAACTGCAGTTCGTGGGTGTTCAGGAATGTCACATATGGTCCCATAGCCCATAAGGGGTGGAGGCAGGATCTGGACCCAGGCAGTTCGGCTCCAGAGCCCACTCCCGGACCACGGCCCCTCGCCCTCTCAGGGAGGGTACGGTCCTCCCAGGAACCTGCCAAGGGGGAAGAGGAAGGAACGAGGGGCTGCTGAAGCCAAAGCCTCTAATCCCCATTCTCTTCGTTACCCTTACCTGTTGTTGAGAGCCAAAGGTTTCTGCCTGTCAGCCGCGCTCATCTTTGGCTGTAGGAAGAAGGTGGCGGCGATCCACACCTGCAGGATCATGAGACCCAGGACGATGGATAGGGTGAGGCTGAAACACAGGGAGAGACGGTCCTGAGGGGGCCTTGTCCAAGCCCTTCTCCAATGCCCAGGGACAGAGAGGACAGAGACGGGACAGCCTGCTGGGACATCAGTAGCCCTGGCTCTGTGCTTTATGCCTCCAGAGTATTCTCACACCCACTGTCTGATGAGAAAATGGAGGCTCACGAAGGGCAGATGACTTTCTCAAAGCCACACAGTCAGGTTTTTTGACTCCAGGATTTAATTATATGTGGCAGCTGAGCTGCGTGTTTAACAGCATGGAAATCAAAGGAAAGCATGGAGCAAGAATTCATGAAGGCCCTGAGAGTGGACGGGCAGGCTCTGCCCAGCCTCCCACGTGGCTCTAGGGGAGGATGGAACCAAGGAGCTCAGAGCAGGGAGTTCTCAGAGAGGGCCACATGCTGGGTCTGCATCCCCCAAGCGGCCGTGTGGGCGGCAGTTAAATGGGGCCTTGGCTTCAGATTGCTAGCTCCCAACCCTGCCCCTTCCCCTCCTTGGACAAATTGGTGAGCCCTCAGTGCCTCTGTTTCCTTGTCTGAAAAACGGGCCTCAATATGAGACCCAACCTTCCAAGGGTTCTCAAGAGAAAAGATGCATAGTGAATTCTCAGTAATGTCAGCCTTCACTTTTATCTTCCATATGGGTAAACTGAGGCTCAGAGAAGCAATTTACCCAAGGTCACACAGCTTCTCTAGAACCTAAGCTCAGATTTCCTTTCTCCTTCTACTATACTGCCCTGACTCCCATGTCACCTCCCCGAACTTCAATCTTCCCAGCTCTAAAATGGACACATGTGTATCCCCCACAGACACAACTGTGAGCACCCCACTGAACAGCAAGAATGGAAACATTTTGTCAACTGTAAGGTTCCCACTGTGATGAGTTGCTCTTTTGGCCCATCCCTGGGTCAGAACTGAGAGTGTGGGTCCAGGAATTAGTGAGATCCCAACAGGGAAGGGGCATTTTGAACAGCAGCTTTGAGGGTCTGCCAGCTCCTAGGCCCCGGGCAATGACAGGGAGCCCACCCAGCACTTACGTCCCGATGCCCAGTCCTAGGAGCATCTCCAGGCCCTGGTTGTGGATGACAGGCAGCACCAGGCTGTACATGATCAGCATGCCACACAGGCTCTGCACCACGTGGATGATGAGGTAGCCTGTGGGCCAAGGGAACCCACGGTCACTCGAGGCCCTTCATGACCCGGTCATACATGTCCCTCCCTGAGGTCCCCCCTCTATCCTCCTCCCACCAAAGGTCCTGGCATTTTTGCTTGTGCTGTTTCTTCTGCCTGGCATGACCATCCTCCTGCTGCCTTCTGCTTGCCCTGCCAGATGCGACTCAAACGTCAGCCGCACTAGAAAGCATTCGTGTCCTGCCCTGGGTGTGGAGAGTCGCTTCCTCCTCTCTGTCACCACTGCCTTTAGCATTTCCAGCCCACGGGCTTAGGACAGGAGGTAACAATAGCTATGTGAATGTGGGATTCTCCCTCCCTCCCGAAGGAGAGAGAACAGGGGCTGCTTTGCCTCGCCTCTCTTCTCTCTACGCACAGCCAGGACTCCGCGGGCGCCCGAGGAATGGGTGTTGAATTGAATAGGTCACGTGAGGACACTTACCCCACAGAATATAGGCTATTTGCCAGCCAGAGTACCTTGCAATGGCCACCTGGGATTTAAAAAGAAAAAGGGGTCTCAGAGGGGAGAAAACACCGATCACCCCTAACACATGGGTCCAGCATCCCCGCCTCATCTGAGGTTCACCCACCAACACACCAAGGTGGGTGTCATGATTGTCATCATTTCACAGATGAGGAAACCAAGGGCCAGGTGGGTCACCCAGCAACAGAGCATACTAGAAGTGAGGCCTATGGACTCCCCATCCAGGGCTCTTCCTCCCCCAGGCTGCTACCCCGTCCCAGCTGCAGGAGAGCAGGATTTAGCCAATCACTTAGTCTCAGAACAGAGAGAGGCCTCAGAGGACTTACCACACTCTCCGCCGAGGAAGGATTATGGAACTTCAAAGGGAGGAAGTGTTTATTTCCTGCCCACAACCTCTTCATGTGCTTTCTAGAGAAAAAGTGGGAAATCAGGAATGTTCATAACCACGGCTCCTTATGTACTTAGAGCTCAACAGGTATAGACAGAAAAGCCTGTGGAGGGAGATGGTGGCTGGCTCGGCTTCCCTATATTGACCACAGCTCGTGGGACGGTTCTCATTAGCCTTAAAAATATTTTCAAAATACTTTTAAATTGAGATATAATTGACACATAACATTATATTAGTTTCAGGCATACAACATAATGATTTGATATATATGTATATTGCAAAACGGTCACCACTATGAGTCTGGTTAACATCCATCATCTTGCACAGTTACAAGCTTTTTTTCTTGCAATGAGAGCTTTTAAGATCTATACTCCCCAATTTTTAAATATGCAGTTCAGTACTATTGCGAGAGTCACCATGCTGTATTTACATCCCCATGACATTTATTTTATAACTGCAAGCTCATGCCTTTTGACTCCCTTCACCCACACCCGCCTCCGACAACCTCAGATCTGTTCTTTGTATCCGTTAGCTTGTTTTTTGTTTTGTTTTAGATTCCACATATAAGTGAGATCATACAGTATTTGTCTTTCTCTGTCGGACTTACTTCACTAAGCATAACATCTTTTAAGGTCCATCCATGTTCTGCAAATGGCAAGATTTCATTTGTTTTTATGGCTGAATAGTATTTCACGGTGTGTGTGTGTGTGTGTGTATCACATCTTCTTTGCCCCTTCATCCATCAATGGACTCGTAGGTTATTTTCATATCTTGAATATTGTAAATAACATGGCAATAAACATGGGGGTGCAAACATTTTTTCGAAATAGTGTTTTTGTTTTCTTCTCATAAATACCCAGAAATGAAGTTGCTGGATCATAGGATAGTTCTATTTTTACTTTTTTGAGGAAGTTCCATACTGTTTTCTACAGTGGCTGCACAATTTACATCCCCAGCAACAGTGCATGAAGGTTTCTTTTTCTCCACATCCTCGCCCACACTGGTTACTTCTTGTGGTTTGGGTACTAGTCATTCAAACAGATGTGAGGTGATGCCTCATTGTGGTCTTAACATGGTCATACATTTCCCTGATGATTTAAAAATCTTAATATAGTTTGCAATAGTAGTATGTAGTTACCTAGTCTTGATGGTGGCTGAATGTGATAGTTGAGACTCTGCTTGTGGCTTTTATTTTCTTCAATTTGCTCTATTTTCTTATTTGTTCTGTGACAAATATGTATTACTTATGTAATAATATTTCAAAACAGGTAATAATGGAAAACTATTTTTAATGATAGATCCACCTTATTGCAACATAAATGAAACTGAAAAAGGGACCACAGCCCCTCATGCTCCCAGCACCTGCACAAACCTCTGCATGCCTTCCCCATGTGCTGGTCTCGGCCTGGCCCTTTGCATAAAAGATTAGGTTGGCGATGGTTATGTTCACGGTCCACATTCACATGTGTCTTGCTTTTTCCCCCACATCCTATCTCCAGCATTTTTCAGGATGTTTTGCAATTTTATGACCACTAAATGGGGAAGACTTAGTATGAAATAAAGAATGTCAATATCCTATTGATAGCTTGTATATTTATTATATGATGAAATGATGGTTTGAGGTTATGTTGGGCTAAATAAAATATATTATTAAATTATTCTCACCTCCTTTTTTAACTTTTTACTCGTGTCTATTAGGAAATTCAAAATTGCGTCTGTGATTTTCACTGTTTCAGCTCGGCAGCACTGGAATAGAGCATGTGCTACCAGGAATGCAAACACACCAACACACATATGTGTGCACAAGGCATAGACAATTTCTGGGAGGATACAGAAAATGAATAATGTTTAGCTCTGGGGCAACAAATTGGGGTCTGAATGGGAGGAAGACTTTACACTAAATATTTTTATGACTTTTTTTTTAAAAGAGGCTGCACATAGATAGGAATAATTCTAAGAAAAATAAAAATACTAGCACAGTGCTAGTGCCGTCCAGTTGTAGGGGTTTCTTATCCACTTTTTCCTTTGCTCCATGGTCCTGTAAAGCAGACAGGGCAGGGATCATCGGTCCTCAGTGACAGGTATGGGAGGGAGGGGCCAGCCTGGACAAGGATAAGGCCTCCCTGCCACAGGCACCTTCTCTTCCCTGTGCCCTCCCCCCATGTCAATGCAGCCAGCTCTAAAAGGTGATTGTTACTGGTTGTGGTCCAGTGTCTCACTGATCATCTCCCAGGCACTTGCAGTCCATTGAAGGAAGGAGCAGGTATATCCCCACATCAAGGGGGGCAGGGGAGAGCAGTGGTGTCCAGTCCACCCAGAGGGTCCAGGGACAGGAAAGCAGAGAGAAGGAGCAAGCTAGGGCTGTGATGGAGAGCTGGGGCCTCTTTGCACCAGGAGAGTCCTTATTTGGATGCCATCTGCAAGAGACCCACCCTTCGGGCAGCCAGATGGGGAGGGTATAAAGGCAGGATGCTTCGGAGGGGTAGGAGATGGCCCTGGGCCTCCTGTGACTGCATGTGAGTTAGAGACACAGAGAGAGACTGAGAGATAGACAGACAGACAGAGGAGGGAGGGCAGATACCTAAAATTCAACTGCTATCTGCAGTGAAATGCTCACTACATACTGAAGTCCATCCCCTCCTCCCGCTCTGCTCTTCTAGAGACTGATGCACCCAGTGCCCTTGACCCGATCTCCTCTGATAACTCCTAGAGCCGGATGCACCTGCTGGGAACCCAGTGTGGTTAGTCCTGGAGAGCAGGGCAGGTCTGACCCCTAAGAGAGATGCCGAGTGTACAAGAAGCAATAAGGCCTCTCAGGGCAGAAGACATGGCCAACTGCTAATGGCGTGGGTGAGTTATTTTGTTAAGTCTCAGCCTTCTCAGCTGTAAAAACAGAGATGAAAGTGCCTCTCAGGGTTGTGGTGAAAATCAAAAGATTCTTTTTTAAAAAATATTTATTTATTTGAGAAAGAGAGAGCATGCGTGCCAGGGGAGGGGCAGAGGGAGAGGGAGAAGGAAAGAAGCAGACTCCCCGCTGAGCGGGGCTCAGTCCCAGGACCCTGAGATCATGACCTGGGCCAAAACCAAGAGGTGGCTCCTTAATCAACTGAGATCCCCAGGCTCCCCTAAAAATCAAAAGATTCTAAGCACAATGTCAAGCTTATAGTAGAAGCTCAAATCAATTAGTTTTTTGGTTTGGGGTTTTCTGTTTTACAACCAATAGATGTGGCTCCTCCTGGATGGCATATACATTCATGGTTCCAATTTGGGCACTGCTGTCACCACTCAGGAATTTTTAGAAAATTCTGGCTGAAGACAAAGAAATGATGCCCAGAGCCCTCTCACCTGTAACAGGCCAATATGTGGAACAGATAGCTCACACACGTGAGGGAGGCGGACAAGATGGTCACCAGCCAGACTCCTGAAATAGAAGAAGTCACAGGAGATGAGCCTGAGAAGATGAGCCAGGAACAGTGTTTTCAAATTGCGGATGCTCACATCAGAAAGGGCTGGGCAAATACATTTTACTTCCTTTAACATATTTCTTGTGTAAATAAAGTTTTGCTTCTATTTCTGTCTCATTTCAGACACACACATCCTTGCTATACTTTACTTCTTGCACAAGCCTCTCCTTGGACATTAAGATTTTCCATTTACAGTGAGTAACAGGTAGAGAAAATGAGGGCGTATACACATGTAGTTACCTTCCGTCCTCGTAAAACGATTAATTTGCCACCCCCAGTAAAGAACAACCATGCGTAAGGATAACTGGAATCAAGAGGTCTTGACTATTCTTTCATCCCTCTTTTGGCAAGTTTTTAATATGTTGTATCTAATCTGCTTTCACGTGATCCTGTGTGCTTCTGAGAAAGGGAGGGAGAAACAGGGAAGGGGGATGATGTGTACGTATAAAAGCTTCTGGACAAGCTGTTTATCAGTTGGTCCACAAAAACCATTTTAAAAAAATCCAACACCTCTTCATAATTAAAAACACTCCATAGTGTAGAAACAGAAGAAAACTTCCTCAACCTGATAAAAAGCATCTGCAAAAAACTCATAGCTAACATCATGCTTAACAGCAAAAGACTGATTGCTTTCCCCCTAAGTTCAGGAATAAGGAAATCAATGTCCACTCTTGCCAATTCTATCCAACATTGTACTGGAGGGTCTAGCCAGGGAAATTAGGCAAGAAAATGCAGCCAGGCTGCAAAGGAAGAAATAAAACTACCTCTGTTCATCAGTGACATGTTCTTATATTTAAAAATTTCTAAGGAACAGCAACAACAAAAAAGAAACAAACAAAAAAAGAGATTCAAACTCATTAATAAATGAGTTCAGCAAGCTTGCAGGATACAAGACAAATATATAAAAATTAACTGTATTTCTGGACACTGGCAATGAACAATCTGAAAATGAAGAAAACAACTGTGTTTGCATTAGTATAAAAAAGAATAAAATACTTAAGAATAAACGGAAGAAGTACGCAACTCGTACACTGAAAACTACAGAAGACTGTTGAAAGAAATTAAAGATTTAGATTAATGGAAAGACATGCTGTGTTCATGTATAGGATGTTCTTTGTTAACATGGCAAAACTCCCTCAATTGATCTAAAAATTCAACCCAATCCCTATCAAAATTCCAATGCCATTTTTGCATAAATTGACAAGCTAATCCTAAAATTCATATGAAAATGAAGGGACCTAGAACAGACAATATAATCTTGAAAAGGAAGAAGAAAATTGCAGGCCTCACATTTCTTGATTTCCAACTTACTACAAAGCTACGGTAATGAAGATAGTGTGGTACTGCCATAAGGATAAATAAATAGATCAATGTAATAAATTGAGAATCCAGAAGTAAATCCTCATCATCAGTGTATTTTCAGCAAGGATGAAAAAGACAATTCAATGGGGAAAGAATACGCTTTTCAACAAATAGCACTGGGGTAACTGATATTCACATGCAAAACAATGAAGTTAGAACCTTACCTCACAGCATATACAAAAATTAACTCAGAAAGGGATCATAGATTTAAATGTAAAAGCTAAAATTATAGAAGTGTCAGAAGGAAATATGAGAATAAACCTTTGTGACCTCAAGTTAGGCAATGTTTTCTTAGATACACACATGTGATAAAAGAAAAATTAATATGCTGGACTCCAACAAAGTTAAAAACATCTGTGTTTCAAAGGACACCATCAAAAAAGTGAAAAAGCAACCAATAGAATGGGAGAAAATATTTGCAAATTATCTCTCTTGAGGGATTTATGTGTAATATAAAGAATTCTTACAGCTCAATAATAATTTAAAAATAGGCGAAGAATCTCCATGGACATTATTCACAGAAGATGTACAAATGGCCAATAAGGACATGAAAAGATTCTCAACATCATTAGACATCAGGGAAATGAAAATCAAAACCACAATAAGCTGCCATTTCACACTTACTAGATAGCTATTATTAAAAAACAAAAAACATACCAACATGTGTTGGTGAAGATATGGAGAAACTGGACCCCTGATACACTGCTGGTGGGAATACACAGTGATGCAGTTGCTTTTGAAAACAGTCTGGCAATTCCTTGAAAGGTTAAATATAGTTACCATATGATCCAGAATTCCACTCCTAGGTATACACCCAAGATATATGAAAATATATGAAAAACTTGGAGATGAATGTTCATAGCAGTATTACTCATAATAACCAGAAAGTTGAAACAACCCAGATTTCCATCAACTGATGAGTGGATAAATACAATGTGGTATATTCATACAACAGAATAAATTCCAGCAATAAAAAATAATGAAGTTCAGTCACATGCTATGACATAGATGAACTGTGTAAACATTTGCTATGTGAGAGAAGCCAATCAAAAAAGACCACGTATTGTGTGATTCCATTTATATAAGAAGTCCAGAAGAGCCAAATCCATAGTGCCAGAAAACAGTGGTAATCTAGGGGTGGGAATGTTGCGGGGAAATGGGGAGTGACTGCAAATGATTATGATTTCTTTTAAAGTGATGAAAATGTTCCAAATTTGATTGTGGTGATGGTGATTGTTGAGAATATACTAAAACCACTGAATTGTTCTTTAAGTGGATGAATTCTAAGGTATGTGAATTGTATCTTTGAAAAGTTGTCTTAGGGGTGCCTGTGTGGCTCAGTCATTAAACGTCTGCCTTCGGCTCAGGTCATGGTCCCAAGGTCCTGGGATTGAGCCCCATATTGGGCTCCCTGCTTGGCGGGAAGCCTGCTTCTCCCTCTCCCACTCCCCCTGCTTGTGCTCCCTCTCTCGCTATGTCTCTGTCAAATAAATAAAATCTTAAAAAAAACACAAAAGTTGTCTTAACAAGAAGGAAAAAGAAAAGCGATCTCCAATCCTTCCAAGTTTTCTATGTGTCTCTGTCCCAGCTTCACCAGGATTAGGCAATTACTGTATCCCAAACCTCAACCATCACAAAGGCTGCAGGTAAACCACATAAATCTCACCCCTGGGGGCACAGGGAGCCTGAAGGAAAGGATGGGAGGAGTCTGGCCACAAGCAGAGTGAGCGCAGATTTAGACCAGCCAGTAGCAAGAGCATGACTGACTGCATACTTTCAATTTAATGCCTTTATCTTCCCAAAGATGAAGCATGTACAGCTTAAAAGTCTCTCTTGGCCAGAGGGCAGCCGTGTTAAAGCTGAAAAAGATCAAGATGGAGTGAAAATTTTATGTTTTGATTCCCAAAATATCTAAACATGCGAGAAATACATGGAAGAGGGGGTAAAACATAAGTGAATACAGTGATATATTTACTCAGGTTCACCCAGAGCAAGTAACTGAGGTTGGCATTAAAAACTTGCCTAGAAGAGGGGGGAAATGTAAACTTTCAAAACTATGGCTTAAAATTAGTATGACTAAACTTAAAGATTAGACTATGCTTGCTGAGTGTTGTACTCAGGGACTTGTCAGGCTGAGCATAAATCTACATCAGAGATGAATACGAATGTTCAAGGGCAACAATAAAGTATGTTGGTTTGGAGCTGGTGCCCCAGTGCTCACATAAAAGTAACTTTCCATGTCACATGTATGAAAGAGAATTTCCCTCAAATAATTCACAGGAGATCTATTTCCTTCTGGTTGCAGTACTCTACCAGACTATGAGTCTTATGTAAAAATATCATTTGCAACACCTGTTTCATGACTTATGGACCATTTGGTAATTTATGGCCATTAAATGTTGGTGCTACAAAGGCTGTTGGAAACCACTTCACACCCCGTTCCAAGACCTCATTTAAAGATGAGGAAGCTGAGAACAAGAGAGAGGAAGGACCTGACTTGTCTGACGACACAGAGTCTACCTGACATCTAGTCCACAGCTTTTCGCAGCAGGAAAGAGGGAAGAACTCTCCCCACTCCATGGGCAACAGACACAGAATTAGAATGTCGTTTTCAAAGAAAGGTGGTATCTTAAGGTAAAGTGACTGCTATGGACAGATTCATATGTCGAAACCCTAACCCCCAGTATGATGGTATTTAGAGATGTGGCTTTTGGGATTAGTGCCATTATAAGAAGAGACAGGAGACAGACATCCTGCTTCCTCTCCCTACTCTCTAGCACTGAGGATACAAAGAGATGGCCGTCTGGAAATCAGGAAGCAGGCTCTCACCAGACACCAGATCTGCTGGCACCTTGAACTCCCCAGTCTCCAGAACCAGGAAATAAGTAAGTGTTCATTGTTTCTACTACCCAGTCTACGGCAATTTGTTATAGCAGCCCGAACTAAGCAGAAATTAAATTTGAACAGCATAAAAAATTTTTCCATATAACCCTAAAGAAAAGCCATGACTTGCTGTTTTATTTTTTCCCAAGTGAAAAAGAGATGATGATTTTAGTTGTTTCCACTGGCATCAAAACAAAATAGGCTATTTAAAATGAGAGAATTCTCAGGGCATGTTCAATTCAGCCCCAAACAGGTTTTAACAAAATGGCCCAGATCCCGACCCCACTGGCCTTCTAGTCACCCAGGGAGGCATATATCAGTTGTAACCCACTTGTCTCCCAAACCAGGTATCTCATGCAGATAATAGCAATGCTACAGCAATAATTATCCCAGGTGTGTACCTGTCACCAGTTAATTATAAGTCCTTCTCCCAGTTTCCCACACTTTCCCAACAAAGGTGGCGGAATGGTTGTACCTTTGGCGACGCTCATCAGCTCTTTCACCTGCAGGATGACTGGGGTCAGGGTTCCCGTCTGGTTCACGGAGGTGATATAGCTCTCCAGCTCCCCTTCAAACACATCCAGCTCATCTCTCACATACACGAACATGCAGAACTCAATGACAATGAACTGATACAAAGAGCAAACATATCAACGTCACACCTGAGTCCAGCCTAGTAGGTGAATAACATATGGATCACTCTTTGGTTTTGAGATCAAAACTCTTTGAAGTTCAAAACAAATCTGAAATAGACTCTGGACAGTGGCTATCCCAAGATGAGTGGGATTGTGACTTCTCTGAAGACTTTTTTGGAGTCACCTCAAACTCTTTTCTTCACCCAATAGCATACGAGACTAGGTCCTATGAGGGCTCGAGGAACTCTTCAAACATTAATTACATCCAAGTGAAATGACTGCCTAACTATGACTAACGAGTGGCCTTGGGGACAATTCCAGCCGTACCTCCCACCGCTGTCCATCTGGCGTCTTGGTGGTAACCACGTTAGAGGAGGTGCTGTTTCCTATATGCGTGTCACATGTGCTCACTCCCATCATCCTGTCATCTTGGCTCCATGCCGCCTACCATCACACCAAAGCTTCTAGAGTTCCTACTACCATTTTACTTCATCAACCAAATTTTGTTTGTCTTTGAATGTGCAGCTCCAAATGGTACCATCTTCAGGCAGTGTCTCAATCTGGGATAATTCACTAAACTTTCAGAGAGCACTTTCCCCTTTTTCCTCTTTACATGGCAGGTACTTCATACCACATTGTATCCCCTTCTCTTAGGCCATGGGTCTCTCCCAAGCCAAGACTCTGCTGAATCAGCTGTCTTCTCTCTTCCACGTCTTAGCATGGTGCTTGGCATTCAGATAACCACCCAAGACTTAAGGAACACAATAACTCCAAGTCAGTTATTCACGTTGCAGAGAACTCCAGTTGTCTGTTAAAATCCATTCTCCCCTTCTTTGGGCGCAAAGCTGGACTACCTTTCCCAGCCTCCCTTGAGTTAGATGTGGCCACATGACATGGTTCTTGCCCATGGAAGAGGAGTGGAAGGAATGTGTGCTATTCCACACAAGCCTTTGAAAACCTTCTACATGCATTTCTCCATGCACCTCCCCCTTCTGCTGACTGGATGCAGAGGGTGAGGGTTCTTAGGGATAATGAGGCACATGATGAAAGATCTGGGTTATGGAGTAACACACGGAGGACTGCTGCCCCCAAAACCTGAACACCCACTTGACGTTGTTACATGGCAAAAATATATATAGTGTTAAGTCACTGAAATTTAGGGGTTTATGTGGTACTTCAGCATTACCTAACTAATACATTCGTTTAAAACTCAATCACAGGATTAATTTACATAGGTATCATCCAGAAGACAATTTGGTCTTGCCATTTCTATCTCTCCATGTTGACCCCACCTTTGACTCAGACATTTTACCCCAAGAAATTCTGACTACATGAAATGTTTTGATCCCATGCTTAATAAAATATTAAAGTCAGAATTATGCCAACATTAAAAAATTTTTTTTGTTGAGAAAACAAACTTAAATAATGCACCCATGCTGAAACATGATTATCACCCAAACTCCATAGTTCACACTAGGGTACACTCTAGGTGTTGCACATTCTGTAGATTTGGACAAACATCTAATGACATGTATCTACCATAATAGTATCATACAAAGTATTTTCACTGCCCCAAAAATCTTCTGTGTTCTGCCTATTCATCCCTCCCTCTTTCCAACCCCTGGAAACCACTGATCTTTTACTGTCTCCATAATTTTGCCTTTCAAAATATCACACAGTTGGAATCATACATTGTGTAACCTTTTCAAATTGGCATCTTTCACTTACTAATATGCATCTAAGTTTCTTCCATGTCTTTTCATTGCCTGATAGTTCATTTCATTTTAGTGAATTGTATCCCATTGTCTGGATGTACCAAAGATTATTTATCCATTCACCTACTGAAGGGCTCTTGGTCACTTCCATATTTTAGCAATTATGTATAAAGCTGCTATAAATATCCATGTGCAGGTTTTTGTGTGGACATAAGTTTTTAGTGCATGTGGGTAAATACCAAGGAAGGTGACTGCTGGATCACATGGTAAGAGTACATTTAGTTTTGTCAGAACCCACCCAAGTATCTTACAAAGTGGCCGTACCATTTTCATTTCCACCAGCAATGAATGAGAGTTCCTGTTGCTCCACATCCTTATCTGCATTTGATGTTGTCAGTGTCCTGAATTTTGGCCATTCTAATAGGTGTGTAGTAGTATCTCATTTTTGTTTTAACTTGCATTTTCCTGATGACATATGCTGTAGCGCATGTTTTTGGGTTTTTTTGTTTTTTATTTTATTTTATTATGTTATGTTA